TTTAGCAATATTAAGTGTTGTTATACATACAAATTACAAAACGACTCAAAGACATTTATCATTATAATTTGTTTTATATTCTATATAAATTGTAGATAATAATTTACAAAAAAATGTATAATAATAATAATAATGTTTTATAGTAATAATAATAATAATAATAATAATAATAATAATAATAATAATAATACATAATACGATTATAAATAAAATAAATTATAAAAATTAACGTGAAATCAATATTAAAAATGTATACGCAAATAAATCATAAGTTACGAAGTGAGGTTGAATAATTTAAACAAGTAATATTTTTAACAAGTATTAACATTAACTATTCAATATTATCTAACAATGATGAGAATATATTTTCAAAAGCCTATTTAGTTAATTTTTTTTTTTTTTTTGGAATGGTTTTTAATTGATTATTTATAAAATATAAATATTTTATACCTGGGTAGTAAATTTTCTATTAGAATATAGCAAAGCCCATCATTGTTTTCTTATAAAATACTGCTATAAAGGAAAGGGGTATATAATAGGTACATTACATGCCATAGCCCTGATAGGGTAAAGTATTTGAAGTTGCATAAGGGGCTCCGCTTGGGGGTACATAAGGTTGTTGTGAAGGGGCAACAGTTCCTTGATAGGACGGCGAGTACATGTTACCCATAACCGATGGACCAGCTGTCAACATTAGTTGTGGTTCAGCTATATAAACAGTAAACACAATTAATAAAATATCAAAACTGTACATTAATAAATGTGTATTTCAATAACACTTACGTATCATCATTGGTTTGATATCTTCTTCTTTGTGTTCTTCCAATCGCTTGGATTCGGCTTCTTCTAATTTATCTACCTTGGCAACATATTCTCTAGTGACTTGAATAAGGTAAGGCATAGCAAAGTCCATGATTTTATGCCTCCACGCTAGTTCCAATACAATGTCTGGGTGCACAAGATCATAACATTGAAACAAAGCAGCAGCAAAACAATCATAGTTTCCTCGCTCTAAGAACCACGTAACCAATTCTTCAGCTACTTCTGAATTTTTTGATTCTGCCGCATATTCCATTGCATCCTAATACATTAATTACATAATTACAATAAAGTAAATGCTTAATACTAACATCAAAAAATAATACTTTATATAATCTGTCTTTCTTGCACAATTCAACACTCTGCTTCCACCTATTATTTCCTTTGTACAAGTAAGCAGCTATGCGCCTAAACTCTGTAAGTTCGTGTTTTTCAAGTTTTTGGGCAAGTGCGATGGTATCGAAATTATCAAATGCATCAATGGACGTTCGTAGACCCTACAAAAACAAAAATAATCAATCATGGCAAATACAAATGATGGCTAAAATAATTACTTGGTAGTCTTCCTCATCGATCAGTAAATTATTTAGAGCTTCATTAATAGCTTTATTATTCAAAGATTGCACGGAACGCAGGTAGGTTTTGACTAATTGCAAATGATTTGTCTAAATTAAAAAAAAAAGTTGTATTAAGCTACAATCAATAATACGTTGAGACTACAGTACCTTAGTGAAATAGGCAACACCTCTAGTGTGGTCCATTCTTGGTGTCAACACCAACAATAAGTCATTGAGCAGAAGCGGTTTATAATCAAGATAAAATTGTATTGCTTTGTAATATAACTCTAAATTAGCAACCTGAAAAATAAATCAATAGTTATTAGTTAAGAAGAAACAAACATGAATACCTAAACACAATTTCTTTTCATACCTTTGTAATAATATCTTTAAAATGACTCTCTCGCCATGCTTCAGTTGGATGATTCATCATGGCTAATACCGCATTATCATACTCTTCATATTTATCATATAAAAACACTAACTCTGACCACAAATGTGCTTGTTCAGCCGCTCTTAACACCTTAGGGTCAATAAGACATGTTAACACGGATGCTCAGTGTTGAATATAGAGTGCGCGGCAACAATTCAATTTTACGGCTGTCAAGGTTTTACCTACTTTAAGTACAAATCCCTGCAAAATTTGAACCTACGACATCAATAATCCACAGAATACCAACGCACAACGTGGATTTATATAATAAAATCTATAAAATATAGTTCCAGAAAGGAACAACATCAATAGTACATCGAACATAGTAACCACTATACTACATGGTAGCAGTAGTGGGGGAACCACAGATATACCGATCGAATTTCACTATACTAACTACCTACTTACGTCGAACGCACCAGTCGAATACGCGCAATTATCCCATCCATTGAACAACCGTCGTACCGTTTTTCCCTCTGTTAAATAATAAAATCGCTGCCTAGAGGGTCCCACCGCGGAGTCCTCGCAACTGATATACTTCTCCTCTCCCACACTGACTAATAGTAGCTTGTACAGTACAGACCACTACTAATACTACAGGGTGAGGAGAGGAGAAATATATATCAGTTGCGAGGACTCCGCGGTGGGATCCTCTAGGCAGCGATTTTATTATTTAACAGAAAGAAAAACGGTACGACGGTTGTTCAATAGATGGGATTATTGCGCGTATTCGACTGGTGCGTTCGACGTTAGTAGGTAGTTAGTACGGTGAAATTCGACCGGTATATCTGTGGTTCCCCCACTACTGCTACCATGTAGTATAGTGGTTACTATGTTCGATGTACTATAGATGTTGTTCCTTTCTGGAACTATATTTTATAGATTTTATTATATAAATCCACGTTGTGCGTTGGTATTCTGTGGATTATTGATGTCGTAGGTTCAAATTTTGCAGGGATTTGTACTTAAAGTAGGTAAAACCTTGACAGCCGTAAAATTGAATTGTTGCCGCGCACTCTATATTCAACACTGAGCATCCGTGTTAACATGTCTTATTAGCATAGGAACTAAAGGATGTACTTTTATAGTATAGGTAACAATGTTATATGTGTAAGTATAATGTTTCATTATACTTACAACCAATATTACCTCGCTTTTTGTCATATTATAATCACGTAAAGTATACACGTGGTAGGTATCATTACTTGCGTACAAACGCATTAGGCTACCACTAGATAGCGCGAGCTATTTCGTAAAGTGCTCGTTTTGTCCCGTTACATTATAATATTGGAGTGGCGTGTACGCCTTTTCGCGATCTCAAAGCGTATTGCATCGTATCGCTAGATTGTTTCGCTGGCGCACCCTGTAGTATTAGTAGTGGTCTGTACTGTACAAGCTACTATTACTCAGCGTGGGAGAGGAAAAAAAATCTCCCTAAAACCCGCTATATAGAAATCTGCAGTGATACAGCACCACTGTATTGTTCAAGCTGCAGATATCTATATAGTAAAAACGTTCGTAGAAAAACAAATATTACACAGACTCTGCAGTGGTACAACTCATCACTGCAGTTCTCTTGTCAAGCTGCAGCTCTCTGTGTAATATATTCGCTCAGAGGTAAACAAAAAAATCGCATTATCAGTCGTCGCCGTCGTCCGACCGATGTTATACCGTTGTAAGTGTTCTAATCACCACGGATTAAATAACGTCAGCGCTGTTACACTTTGTCGCGGCGTATCCACTTCGTGCCGTTGAAACTACAGACTGTATACTGTTCAAACCCGTTGGAAGGAAGGAGGTCAGATCTTATAACGATTCCGCATCGAGGACGAGTCATATCACCGCCCGATTGTAGTCTACGTTGCACCATCGCTGCCATATTCTGAGAGCTTGGAAGATAGCCCAGCAGTCACTGTCACGACTCACGATAGTCAATTGCCACCAATTTCCAAACGGTTACATTAAACAGAAGTTAAACGTGAGTCTTTTAACTTGTCAATTTTAAAAGCGTATCATATTATATCTGTAGCTCGAAGAGCAAAAATACATATATCAACTAAAAGAAAATATTGTATTGAAAATATTATCAATACCATAGTATCGCTGTAGCTCGAAGAGCACATATATATATACAAAAAAAAAAAAGAAAATATTGTAAACAAATATTTTTCAACATTATAATATATTTGTAATAAGAATAAAAACACACTCTACATCAAAAAAATAAAATTGTGTGTAATTTATCGTTACAATAATATCCATTAGATCATAACACAGTGTACATATTTGAGCAGTATTCAGTAGTGAGGGAAATGGGGCAAATTATTATTTTAAATGTAATTAATTTCGTTTAGATTAAAATTTATATAATTTAATCTTTAAAAGGTATCAATTATATGACAACAAAACGTTTGATAACAAAACGGGAAAATGGCCACTTTGCATCCACAAAAATGCCACTGTCGTTAACACAAATGATTGATAAATTAGATTTCGCGATGCTCGGGAAAAGTAAACTACGAAGTGCATTTTCAAACTGCACACCCGGCGTTTTAACGTTGGTATTATCTTCCGCATAGTCGACTTACAGAAATTCGGTATCGGTCATCATGTCGGGTATCCGGTCCAGTTCTTGGTTAGTGCAGGAGACTAACGTGACTTCGCACGTGCATTTGTCTGGGCACTCGTTGGTGTACGATGGAAACGACGAAGAGGAGAACATCAACAGAAAAAGTAGCAACACCATAGCCCTCCGTAAAACAGCAGCGGTGGTGTCTTGATGCATCTTGAGTCCTCTCTCGAACTGGTCGCAGAGCACACTACTCAATCGCACTTGCCGCTTAGTAAAGTAATAACATTTATAAAATACCGAACGGGTTCGGCGCAAGCGCGATCTGTGTTGTTAGCGTGGTTTTTTTGTCATTGAATAATGCCACTCTCCGAGGAAAAAATTGGATGACTGGAAAAACTCACTTGGGCGCGATCACTCTGATATCCTCACCACCACTACCAACAAGTAGGTAGGTATAGCTGTATATTCCAAGTAGTAAATAGTTATCTCAAGAAGGAAAATCTTATGTATAATATAATACATAATACGTATTATAGTTAAAAAAATAAAATATGGTAATTAAGTATGTTAAGAAATTCCAAAACAACAGAATTTGAAAAATCCATTATTTAAAGAAAATGGGACTGAGCAAGCTTGGAGATCACTCTGTATAGTCCAAGTAATAAGTAATTATCTCAAGAAAAGAAATCTTATATATATAATACACAATACCTATTATAATTTAGTGGATTTTTTATTAATTTATTATTATGTACCTATATGGTTATTAAAAAAATAAAATATAAAATGTATACAATGTAATAATATACTATGTTATCAATGTTATCATAATGTAGGTACTATTATGAAGAAACCAGTAAGTACAAGGTCGTACGTTTGAATAAACAGAGTAGTTATATTAGTTACAAGGATTATAATTTATAAGAATACGTAATAATAATATAGTTATATTATATTATGGCTATATTATATGCATGTAAAAGAGTGTTTTTATTTTTCAGATTAAGATTTTGTTTTTTTGTTAGTGAAATATTTATAATAATGAATAGATGATCCCAAAAAGGTGAGAATAGTAGACTGTAGCCTAAAGGTATAGATGAACTCTACTGAGAAATATAAATTTAATGAGATAACAACCGCGATAGTCAGTGTTAATTTATTGAAGTAAGCATTATTATGACGTATAAAATACGAACAAGTGTGTTACTGTATAAGCAGTATACTATGGATTAATATTTTAATCAACAGTACAGTAATTTTAAATATATTACACTATAGACATTATAAAGTAAAATAAATGATAATAGTCAACTAACTACTGACAATAGGTAGGTACGTCATAAAAACATAAACAAGGAAGTAGCTCTGCTGAAAATATATTGTTAATAGCCAATAATAGGTAACGAGTGTTGTTCATAATATATTATATTTTATTGTGATAATATGGATAATTGATATGCATATTATTCAAATTCAATGTTAAAGCATGTTTATACATTTTTAACTTTATATAACTACTTAATTGATTTGATAACAAATGTCAACATTTTAACTTCATATAAAAAAAAAGGTGTACTTCTCGAGACCAGAACTCATCTATGAATGCGTCTCGAGATTCTGCATATACTCTTATTTGGAATTACAGTGGCGAACCAGTTTCCCGCTGCACCTTTGAGACAATCTCGTATGGTAATTGATAATCAATTTATCTTCTATATTCAATTGTCTTATCTTGAAATATTCTTCTAGGTTTTGTAAAAAATCAATAGAGTGCTGGTCTTTGCTGTTTCCAAAAAAATTTCATCTGCAGCTCAGCGGTCGAAGTATACTTTTTCTGCTGTGGGTCGGCAGTACCTATTTACCGACTTGTAGGGTTGCCGATTCATAGCAGCCTTTTGCTTTGCACGTTGTATTAGTATTGACAACGTTCTCCGCACACATTATGATTTTGACACTTTCTGTTAACGGCATAATCACTATGGGAAAGGATCATTTTCATTTAAGTATTCTAAGTCGGTGATAGTCGATGATTGAATATCTTCCTTCGATGCTGTCCGTGGTGGTTTTGGTATGTAGGCCGTGGAAGCGCGATCTATTATCATTATTTAGCGTAAGTCCGGGGCCGGTCGGCGTGTAATAGTCATGCGATATGCCGCGCGGACGAGTGTGTCACATGCTGAACACCGTATAACTGATTCTCTTTACAAGGTATTTAACTAGGACATGCAATTGGGAAATCCCTTATGCACAATTTTAAATATGAACGAAATTTAACGTTCAACGCACAGACATTGTATCAAGTTAAATAATATTGTCATGTTATGTATACCTATAGAAAAATATTTATTAGTTTTGCATAAAAAAAAATGCAACGATGATGACGTTGTATATAAATTGAATTTTGCGACAGCCTGTGAATTTATGCCGGAACTGTTACAACATATTATGTCCATTGTCTGGGATAGAAATAAATAATGACAGAACTAGCGATAAAACAACAAAAAAATAAATAAATCAGTCAAACGCGAGTTTCGTTTAAAATGTTTGAATAGAATAAAATTTTTAATTCTTTAGGTGGTAAAATATATAATACGAACACTGTAATAATCAGCACCCGCAGAAATCGGCTATTACATAGTACCTACATTTACCCGACCAGGACACACAATTAAGTAGGTACCTACTACAAACTACGATATATAGTGTAATATTATGTTTTCCACAGAATACGATGGTATTATAACAGTACTTGAGCATCCGATGCAGATGTGCCTGCAAGTCGTGCTCAGACCTCAAAGTGTATTATCGCAGCCAATTCGCAGGTGCAGCAAAATATTCGATCGGTCTACTATTTAATAATATTAGTGTCCTAACTAATAGAATTTCGTGGCTTAAATATAAAACGTCTTAAATGTACAAAAATAAAGTTTCGCGAGTAAGATAAATTATTGTAGCTCTATTCTGTTTTATAAAATGTCGTACCTAGTAAATATTTTAATCGAGAAAATAAATAAACGTAACTTTTCGTTTAACGATGCTCGAATCAAATATTAATCATATTTTTTCGTTTTTAATTATCAAGCCATTATGCGTAGACGAATATTAAATTAACTCATTAGGTACTGGTATTTTTTTCAAAGCTTAATACAATTTATTTTTAAGCACCGTGTTAATTTTTCTTATTAAATCATAATATTATAAAGGCAGTATGACCGAGCATATTTATAAGCACCTACCCGTTCTTATATTTTGCAAGTAAGAGATTCCAATTTGACGTGAAATAAAATCAGAAATAAGTTGTTTTTATGTATTTTTTTTTTTAATTACTAACCTAACGAAACAATTTTATTTTTTAGGGATTATTTATTAGAAACAACGCATAATGAATAAATGTATGATCCGTCTATGTGTAAATTGAAAATATAACACTTTTCTTCGAATAATAATATGCTTATGAGTAGTTATGACACAAGTGATTTCACCGAGACGATCATGATATCGGGATGTAAAATGTAACTTTAATAATAAAATAACAATAAAAAAGAATTTCATAAGACAAGTTGATGTTTAAAATTCGTCACACGATGCCTTTGATGAAGTTTTCTTTAGTTCAGACGTCTAGAGGTGACATATGGTCTAGTGTTCTGCGACCATTGTGTGCTCCGAAGAGGTTTTGCCACTGTTGTAGAAGCGTATGAGAATCTATATAGATACATTAAAACTAACTTTTTTTTTTTTTTTTCGGTTTGAACCGACGACGTCGCGGGAACAGCTTTCGCATTACTTCCGCGACGCCGCCATCGTTTATTTGACAACAAATAATTTATACATAATAGGGGGGTAGACGGGACAATACCCCGACTTACCCCCCGGGCATGGTCCTGAGTTATACATTAAATACATTACAAATACGTTACATAATAAACATAATATACATTTCTTGGCATGTTGGTTCACGTTTTGTGGTTGACATGGGTTTCTCGGGCCGACCGGAGTCAGTCACCCTCGATTTCGCGTGCGGTCCGTATTGGCGGGCCGACCGGAGTCCGCCGCCCTCGAGCTCTCGTTCTCCTGTTGAGATGCCGCGATGCCGTGATCGCCGTCCCGCCCTTAACATTAAAACTAACTACAATTTACTAATATGACTAAGCCGTAACCGACGACTGTTTGCCATTTTAACAGACAGAAAATCCCGTAGAAAATCAGGGAGAAATTACTATTCGTCAATACACAACGACCACATACATCAAAACGAAAACTGGAACAATCAAATTGTTATCTTTGTATTAAAGTTATATAGGTAATATTATAAACAATTATAATCAAGAATTCTCTACATAAATAAACATAAATTGAATACATTATATTTTACATGACATTGTTCACGTGACATTGTTTATTGGAAAAGACGATTTTTTTATTCATATACAATTTTGATACAATATTACAGGTTTTTAATATTGTAATTTCATTTCATTTAGTATGGTTCACAGAGTTAAAAAAACTTTCACGTTCATAAAATTTATTATGACTCCAAAATAAGTAAGTTATAAGCAATAAAAGTATTTTTTAAATTCAAATTATTTCTTAAAATATTTTTAAAAGACTCGAAATTCAAGAAGTACCATCACTGGATGGTTTCTTCGCTCAAATTATCTGTCTTTTTCTCTTTTTTTTATTTTTATTTTTATTTTATTAATCTACAACACTTACACTTATTGTAAAAAATAATATATTTACAGATTGTGTAATAAAACTAATTAAAAAACAAAAAAAAGACGCCAAATTAAAAAATCCAATTTATGTTGTTTTTTTTATTGAGCTCTTACCTAAGGCAATAAACAAAGCTTATGTGATTTTATATAAAGTAGTTAAACAACATATCAATTTAAAACTATACAATAAAATATATTACTGTGTTCAAATTTTATAAAAAAAACATCTGATCCACTAAAAATTGTAACTATAACTCATATAAATTATTAATTTAACCAATACAGGTATTATAGAGTTTAAATAGTATAAATACAATTTGAAAAGAACTACGAAATCATTAAACCCTAGACTAGCGTATTATAGTCGGTAGTATATATATCTAAAACTGTAAAGTAACCAAAATGCATTATTAATAATTCAGAAACTTCGTTGAAAATCTGGATTCCAAAGAACTCACTTATTTCAAGTCTTCAAAAGGTAAACAACGTACCTACCTATGTAATATCCTTTTAATATTAATGTATGTTTGTATGTCGAAATGTAACTGGATAGGTAGTTTCCTTTTTAACGGCTAACGAGATGAGTTTCAATTATTTTTATACGTTCGTTTTCGTCAAAAGTATAAATTAAGGATGTAATTCACTACCTATTTAATTGTGTTTTATTCAGTTCAAATTTTTTATTTTTTAATATTTAACGAAATAAATTATGTGATTATAAACAATAACAAAAAGGGGAAAGTAGGTACTTATGCAGTGCCGGCGCTAGGGGAGGACAAATGGGACATTTGTCCAGGGCCCCGCGCTTGTTAAAGGGCCCCGTGATTTTTAATTATCATCTTGATACGAATACCGTGGTCTACCGTCGTATATTGCATTATTCTGGCTGCAGCGGTCGCGTACTTAGATATTAAACAATTTATTATTTTATTCAAACATTTTGATGAATTAATTTATTTTTAATTGATGATTTTATGTAGTTGTTAAAATAAATGTAAATTAATAAAATAACCAGCCCTTATGAATTTATTAGCCTACGATTTTCCACTCAAAGGTTTAACTGAAACTCACGCTACGCCAATAATTCTGTGCTGAGCGAGGTTTCATCAGGAGGAATCGCACTCGAATGTGTTGTCTCCGTTTACTCAAGTAGGTAAGGTAAAGTGGGATAAGTGTGACGCAAAATGAAAAGTTAATTTTGAATTTGACAATACTTTTTTTTGTTTTTAACTTAAAGTTGTTATTGTTCCATAATGTAACACCTCTAGATATACATAATTGGAATTTATAGTCAACAAAGTTATATTATCACTCACCTAAGAATAATTTTTTTTTTTTTTTTAATTTTAAAACGTCACTCTTGCCCCTTTTCATGGGGCAAGTGCAAAATCGGATTGTTTTTGCTATTAGTATTACATAAAATTATATATGGGGCAAGTGAATAACAAAGATAAAAATAAGCTTTAATTTGATTTTTGTTTCATTAAAATATCTTGATTCATTAAGAATTGACAGAGCATTATTTAAATTTAATTATTTACCTATATTATATATAAAAACAGTACTTTTTTTAAAATCCTGATTGATGACCTATGACCTGGGGGTCTATTTTGTACGCCATACGAATGCAGTTCGTATACGAAAATTGCACATTTTTCGTATGAAATTCCAATTCGGTATTTTGTAACTACTTTCGTATACGAAAACTTATCGTACGTACGACTGACTCCCGTTCATACGTAAATGTTACGTATGGTTCACGAAAATGGTATTTTGTACATTGTCCATACGAAATTACGTACGTACGTACGGTATTTTGTAACTTTATTCGTACGACGAAATCGCTCGTATGTACGACTGGTTTTAGTATGATTACTACGGATGGTAGTAGGGTATGTGAAAGCCGGTTTTCCTATAGATACTACAACAAAATAAATATTATCTCAATTCAATTAATTAATATCATAGCTGCATAATCATTTGCATCGCTGTAGACGTTTAAAAACGGTGTTTATATCAATTTAGAATTATTGCGACATAATTGATAATATTATACAATTAGTTAAATTCTTCATTTATTGACGAAATGGATGACTTTGACTTTATTGAAAATCTAGCCGCGATAGAAGCATTAGACATTATAGAAGAAGAAGATGCTGCCGAATACCATAGACAAATATATACTAATGAAAACCCTTTTGAAGGTAAGTTCTTACAATGCAAATTTTATTTTTGAGTAGCATGATATTATTATGTTTGAAAATAGTCGTGGGTATTGAAAATATAAGTACATTTAATGTTTTAAAAATTACATAGAATTTTCCGAAAATAAATTTATCATGACGTATCGACTATCAAAAGATTTAATGAAATGGGTCATTAATATGGTGTCTCCTTACATGGAACCTCCAGCAACATCAAGAGGTCTAACAATTGAAAGAAAAGTTTGTTAATTCTTATTTTTATAGCATATATGTACATAAACTGAATTTATCACAATAACACATATTTTAATATAGGTATTGACTGCTATTCGATTTTTTGCGTCAGGAAGCTATCAAAACGATATAGGTTTAAGTAGGTACTCAGCATTAAGTCAGGCTTCAGTCAGCAATTGCATCACAGAAGTTACATCAGCTCTGAATAATCGCCAACTTTTTGACCAGTTTGTCTACTTTCCAAGAAGTTTGGATGAATTGAATGCAGTGCGAAGAGGGTAGGTATGCTTTATAATAACTATAACTATATAGTATATATATTATATTATGGTACCTAATATTATAATAATATATAATAAACCAAAAGTATATACCGTACATTTTTGTATTCGCGTTATTAGATAATTACCCATAATATTATGTATTAACAATAAACATAATAATTGTTGTTATATAATATAAAATATATTATTTTAGATTCAATGAAAAATTTGGTTTTCAAGGCGTGGTTGGAGTTGTTGATTGCACTCACATTGCGATTTTCCCTCCACCGATAAATGATGAGTTATATCCCGAACATATTTATGTTAATAGGAAAGGATACCATTCAATCAACACTCAACTCGTAAGTTTTTATTTCTCAATTATTATAATCAAACATTTCTTTTAAAACATTTAGGTAATATGTAAATTAAATAAATAATAATAATACCTAATAGTAATATATTATACTATAACAATTAATAGTATTTTGAATACTAAAACATTTTAGATATGTGACGTTAATCTACGAATTTTAAACGTCTGTGCCAAATATCCAGGATCCAGTCACGATTCTCACATATGGAATCAAAGCAATGTCAAGCAATTGATGGAAACCTTACATCATGAATGGCAATGGCCATTCTTCATATATGCTATTAGGTGAGTAGGCATGCTGAAACAACTAACATTTTGTTTTACATTAATTTATCTACTATACCTATAGCTACTTGTTTTAGATTATGAGCTATTTCAAATTATTAAAGATACATAAGCACAAATGTTTTTATGTACATTTTATATGCACAATGACATTTTTTAAACTTTTAGATGAATCACCATTTTTCGTTGAGGCGGTATTGTCCCAAAAAGTTAATAACAACAATAAATTAAATAAATGTATAAGTAGGTACTATATATATTTAAAAGTTTACAGGGGTCCACTGCTAAGGTTATTAGCCAACATTTTTTTTTTTATATAAAAAACATATTTTATGTTCAAAAATGTATACAATTGAGAAGAAAAGAAATAAGAAAAAAAAATTACATATTTACAGATAAATTATTAATTGTATTTTCAAGGTAGATTGGTTGAGTCAGAATTTGTAGGTAAATAAGTAGGTACTATTTTTATAATTATTATTGATTACGAAAACTACATTTCGGTTTCAACAATTAGGCATTTAGCACAATATTTACATGTATACATTTCCTTAAATTATTAGATTTTCTCGCATACTGATTTAACATAACATATACAATGAATAATAAAATAAATGCAATTTTTCATCAAAAATCGAATCAACCTATCATAATATTAATAGTAAAATAATTTACTAATGACAATTTTAATATAATTCTAAATTCCATAGGATTACTAATATAGTAATATGATACAAAATACTTATGAATATTGAATGTCGGTTTTTCAAAGCTTGAATTACCTATATTTTCGTATTCCTATATTGATGATACGTTATTGAATTCTAATTAAACACATAGGTACCTAATACAGTGACCCACTCGACAGTCAACACCTACTGTAAACACTTACCTATAGCTTTTTAACGTTACTAGTATTTTAAGTACAAAACTTAATTAGTTTATAATTTTTAGGGGACTCAGGTTACGCATTGAGACCGTGGATGATGACTCCATTTTTGAGACCCGAACCCAATACACCAGAAGCAGCTTACAACGATTCTTTTTGTAAAGTTAGGTCAATTATTGAACGTTGTAACGGTGTATTGAAAATGAGATTTAGGTAAATACAATTTCATTATATATATAATATATATGTATAATATACCATTATGTAATCCAACATTTCTTAATATTTAGATGTTTGCTGAAACATCGTGTTCTACATTATCATCCACATAAAGCCGCTTCAATAATTAACAGTTGTGTTTTACTACACAACTTGTGTATTAACGAAAATATACCGCTTATTGATGAATTTGAAGACGATTATGATTTGGGATTTATTGAACAAAATAATGCGAACATTGATAATATAAATAATAGACAAAATCCTGAATTTATAGCAGGCCGCCGTGTTAGACAACAAATAGTTGAACGATTTTATACATAATATTGCAAACAAAACTAGTATATTATGTACATTATTATATATTATTTATTTATTTATTTATTTTATTTTATTAATTTAAACGGGTAGAACCCAATTACAATTTTTTATAATTAACATTTATTTTTTTTTTATAATATATAATTAATTTAATTAACATTAATTATAATTTATAAATTATTATATTATATATCTAATAATTTAATAATTACCTATTTTTATTATCATTATTATTATTTTATTAACATCTAAACACTTAAATTGTATGATTATTATATTATTATTTAACTAGTTTATTTTTATTTTGTAAAATGATTTTCAACTAAATCACTAATACTTTTTGCTATTTTTTCTTTAGCAATGACATTTCTTTCCTTCAACTTTAATTGTTGTTGAAGAATTTGAAGCTTTTTCTCGTAATAATTTTCGAGAATCATATTCCTCTCCTTACTCAATACGCCAAGTTCAGTCGTAGCTTTTACTGATGCCTCTAACCGCTGTCTTTTGTTGTGAAATTTGTTTTTTGGATTGTTTCGCAACTCCGTAATCTTAGTACTTAATAAATCGTTGCAACTAGAATCAAATTTAAGTATAGAAAGTATTAATACAGCAATATATTTGATTTACATTATTGTTCATTTAAAACATTATTCACTTTATCATACAAACTATTCTTTAATTTTACTTAAAATCCTTACCTTCTATCAGCCGATGTATTATTAGGATCAATTACTGTGGTTTGTGATTCTGGCTCATGATGATGTGTAGCACTGTTCACGCTTCTTTCAATACCAATAGTAGAACCATCAAATAAATCACTAAAAACCAATAAATTAACACTTAGATTATTTTAATGTGTACCAAATATTTTGTCATTTCGTACAATACATTTTGGTAAATATTTAAGTTTTAACTATTAATAATTAATTTAATTCGTGTAAATTCTTACGTTTGCGTTAAATTTTGATCAATAACATAGTCGACCGATAACGGTGTTGCTAACGATGGCGATAGAGGTGCAAATCTGAAGTGTAGAATAAATTTTATTATAATAATATTATAGTAGTATACATTTTAGGTAATATCAAAAATGAAATTATTAGTAATTACTAGAGTACGGATTTTGAGGCGAACTGAAAATAATTCAATAAAGCTCTTCAAATCTTCCAAAGAAGCGTAAAAAAAAGCATTAAAAATAGGCTTTAAAAAAAATGATTTATTACAAATAAACTATAAGGTATTAGAAATATTTGATAGTTTATTAAAAAAAGTAGATAACCAAAAAAACAAAAAGCATTAAAATAGGTACCAAGAAAACAAAATACAATTTAGTGTATTTGATCCTGAGTAGTAGAAATGGAATTTATAGCAATCAAAAATAGGAAATGCCTTTAAAATCCGTAATATAGTAATTACTTCATCAAAAAATTGAACCAATAATCTGTATTTTATAGATTTACATTGTTGAAGTTGACGGCTTTTGAAAATCAAATGAAACAGAAGATTCCATTATTCGCGGGTCTCCTGTTATTGGTACTTCACCTATAATACCTACTAGGGATTCATCCAACTTGTTGAGTGGTGTAGCTATTGATTCACCACCACCAGTAGTTCGAAAATTTAAATTTAATTTTGCCTTTTTAGATTTTGCATTTCCTTTCATATCATGCCAAGTCTAAATTATAATTAAATATCTTGTTCATTATACCTACCAATTTTTTTTATATTGTCGAATAACTTCCAAATTAACTAATTCGAAATATTTAAAAATTTAAATACTTACTCGACGCCAAGCTTTCCATTCTTTGATTGGTCCCGGTATACTGTTTAACGATGCTGTAAGTTCTTGCCATAGATTTGTCGCTTTCTCATTGGTAAATGAGGCACTAAACTTACCTTTGGCGAGGTGAGGATGCGACTCCATAAAATCTATAATTGTTTGTTTTTGGTCACCGGTTAGAGAGCCAGATTTAATTTTTTTTTCTGTTGACATTTCGTTTCTTTTAAAGCATAAAAAAAGCTGATAAATAATCAAACAGACCACTATAATCACACGATTACGACTGTACGGGAAATAACCATTAGGTAAAAATGTACAATATAAAATCAATTATCAATAGGTACGCTTCAAACTTGTTATACTAACATTTTTAACCATAAATGGAATCTTTGTTTATCATAAGTTAAAGCATATTTAATATTTAATTAGGTATAAATGTATAATATAATAATTACCTATTATAATATAAAATAATTATGCAAATTTCAGAATTCACCTACCTATAATAAGTATATGTATATATTTTCAATATAGCTTTCCAGATAAGATATTTTATTTTATATCTAACAATTTTACGTATTTATTTTATCATATACCTAATAGACGTATTATATTTAGAAATTTAAATGTAAACAATAGTATATTAAATTATTGTTCCTATAGTATTATAGTAAGATAGAGTTCCACCAAAATTCGTTTAAATGTATGGACGATGTCGGATGTAGCCATGAGGGTATACGTATTTTAAAATGCTGTTCGTATAGGTTCGAAATTAAAATACGGATAAACGTCATTATATAATGACGTCATACGTACGAATATAAATATAGTACGAAAAACATCCGTATGGCCAATGATTCGTATATCTTAGTTTCGTATGGTTGTACAAAATACCAAATCATGTTCGTATACGAAAAAAATGTGTACGAACAATCGTATGTACGAGCAATATTCGTATGGCGTACAAAATAGACCCCCAGGGCCCCGCAATACCTAGCGCCGGCACTGTACTTATGCACTATGCACTATGCAATACTGTACAGTAGGTTTTGAGTGTATCTCATCATTGAGTAAGTCACTGTATAATGTTGTGTTCATTTTGAATTCAATGATAAATCATAGTGTACGAAAAACGATTCAGAACGAAGATTATATCTGTTAGCCAAAATTACTCAGTAATTGGATATCAAAATTATATGATATATACTATAGGTATTTAAGTATTTCATTATATTTAGTATTTATACTGTTGTTGTAGTTATTTATTTATAAAATATTTGTACGATAAGTTTAATAATTTTTTGCCAAAAATATTGCATTTATATTATTATATTATGTTATTGATGTTTAATTATTATAATAGTATCAATAATATGTATTTTATATAATTTATTATTGTTATTAACTTTTGATTCAATGAATCACTAACTTATTTATTTACTTGTATGTCTTGTAAATTGCATAAAGTTATTCTCATAGACCTTATACTACTAGACAAGAACATATATTACTACTCCGCACTACCATCATATTGAGTAATCGAGTAACTAAAAAGTTCTCTCTATGTTTTTATGCTTTCCCTATACCCATTACTTGTCTAGTAGTATAAGGTCTATGGTTAATCTAAGTGATTTTAAAACGTAATCGTGTAGAAATAGCTCTAAAAGATTAAAATTATACCATGTATAGATAATGCTAACATAAACATTTGGTGAAAATGTCAAGTGTTTACAGTTATTCGTTTTTGAATTACAAAAAAAAATACATTTTATCGAAAACTGTTTATGTAAAAATGCATGTTTTCCCCGATAGTTTTGAAAGTTATAATGGGAATTTTTCATTTTGACGGTATCGGGACATTTTGACCTACCTAAAGTAGGTAATAACTATAGATTCACTTTGCTACCACAAGAGGTATTAAAGTTGAAAATCAAAGCAATTTTTCTATTATAAATATTATGCATATGCACAAAGAAAACACACATTATTGTAAAATCAATACATTCATCGCTCCACTCAGAATCTAAAACAACAATAAAATAGAAAAAAACAGTGAGCCATTCACTGCATTCAATGAGAAAAATAAACTGATAAATGTACTGAATTACAATCTATTATATTATAACTCTGATCGACTTTACAGTCAGTATACATATTACATACCAATAAATTACTATATAGAAGCATATGCGGATAATTATAATTAGTCTAATATATCGGTTAATGATAGGGATCAATGTAACTTCTGATCTATTTGGCACACTAACTATGAAATAGTTTTTGATTATTGATTATTAATTAGGTACCTCGTAGTAACGGTACGTATTTTTCGTCGAATTTTTTCATATTTATACCATGTATTTATTGTTATATGGATGGCGGGGCTATAACAAACCAGTACCAATTTTTATTTTGTTTTTCTATAGGCGCTTTTGAAAATTACTGGGAATTTTAAATTTTGACCTCCCAATGCACCAACTATATTCACTTTCCAATCGAACAAGATACTGAAGTTGAAAATCGAAGCATTATTTCGACTACTTATCGTGTACACAGACACAAAAAAAATTTAAAAAAAAAACACACATCATTGTAAAATCAATACATTCATCGTTTCACTCAGAATCTAAAAAATAAACATCTATTACTATATGCATACCCGCAGAGTACCCGATATTCAATTACACCTACATATTTAACGGGATATTTTCACGAGGAAAATGTAAAATAAAACCGACGTGCCCGGTAGTATATTATCTTATCGACCGTTAATCAAAATCCGATGCGTACCTATATGCCTCAGCACCGTCAACACGCTGATAATACGTCCTCGTCGTTCGTT